TCCATTGCCTTTTACCAGAAGTACCTTGTTTTATCAGAATAAGCATCATTTCCAGATATCAGATTTACATTTGCTTTCATTACATTTATGTCTCTGTGTTACTCATTTTCTAGGCCACATCTTAATAATTTGGTAGTAATCCCGGGTGCTCACTATATTAGGCTGACCACATTACTTTGAGACCTGACAGGATCCATTCAGGAGCTCACAACAGTATACTAAAGAAGTCTTATTCACAGAGAGGTGAACATCAGACACAGGCACTAGCATAAAAAAAAACTATGCTTAATTATATCTGCTGGGTACCAGCTGCCACTTACTTTGCTCTTCTTGCTGCTGGACATTTTATTCCTGAGGTAGCTGAAGGTGCGACTGACTTTTGTTCCACTTTTCCCTTCTAAATCTTTCCTGGAGGGGCTGGGAGGCAGAACATTGCCACTCTCTTCAGACACACTAAAAGCAAAAGACAGAGACTCTGGGTTTTCTTCTTTTAATTCCCCCTGCCGGAGATCATATAGAACAGGGGAAAAGACTCTGAAAGAAACACTTTTTTTGTTTGTTAAGAGCAAATGTATTTTTTCATCCAGCTATTGCAGCTAACCCACAGATTCATTGGCCAGTTTAATTTGTATATGAAATACAAGCAGCTGAAAAGAAAGCACTCATTAGCCACTTAGTCACATGTTACAGGAATCTGTTCCTTTGGCAATATTTCTGTATTTCAATGTCTCAAGTGATGACATTGTGCCCTCTGCTGCTTTACTGGAGAAACAGATTTTCATTAACACAATAGTCAGCAATTTCCTATGGTGTATGGCTAAACATATTCACTCAATCTTAATTTACTGGCCTAAACCACCAACGTCCCTCACAACCCACACAAGCAGTGAAATCTACAGTGAAGTCTCCACAGGGAAACACAATATCTATAATGTACCCCCATTATTTCCAATACAATTTAATTAGAGATTTGGTTAAAAAAATATTTTTCAAGACTCCTAACTTTTCCTGATCTCTTAAAACCGAGCAAATAGGACTCCATTAATGTTTATTTGTTAATCTATAGGTTCATTTTAGAGATGTTAAATATTGGTTAACTCAATAGTCAATTAACCACATGAATTTTTATCAGTCAACTATTCTATAGTCCCCGAAGGAGGAACTGGCAGCCAGTGCACTCTGGCCCCACTCCTGGGGAGCTCCCTGCCACCTTGTGCTGCTGCCTCTGCATCAGAGGCAGCAGCGTGGGGTGCCCGTCGGGAGCTGTTCCGCGAGGGGAGCCAATTTAAAAACCAGCTCCTCTCGCAGACTGGCTGCCTACCACCCCTGCACTGTTGCCTTTGATACAGACGCAGCACCAGGGGATGGCAGCAGCCCCAGTCCAGGGGGAAGAGGAATCTGAGCTCCCAGACCCAGCGTGAGCCAAAATTGAGCCGGGCTGCATGCGTGCTTGGCTCCTAATAACTTTAAATACAGAGCAACAGCACGGATAGGTCCCAGACCTGGTGCAAGCTGGGACTGAGCCAGGCTGCTGGCCAGCCTGCTAAAAAATTTACTGGCAGGGGTAGGGAGGAAATGCATGTAGTCTATAATATTAACCTATAAACTTTTGCTTATTGGTTAATCAACTATACTATTACATCCCTAGTTCATTCCATACCAAACTTTGAGCTATCAATTTCAGAAGGGGCTGGTGAAATGGGGAGAAAAAGCCAAAAGAAAAGCCATATTTTGTCAGTGATAGTGGACAAACCAATTGTCTGCCACTCAGCAAATAGATATGAGAGAGATTTCAGAAGATAACAGACTGCTGTGCACTAAAGAACATTTTACAAGGCTGCTATACTGTAAGCTTAGTGGTGTAAGAGCTATTTCTTTGTTATATCTATATAGTGCCTAGTACAATGCAGTCTGGGTCCTTCACTGTGGCTCCTAAGTGCTACCACAGTACAAATAAAGAAGAGCATTTTTATTATGCTATGGAAATAGGAAGCACTAGATCCTATAAAAACATGTACCATTTCCTGTCCAAATCCCCAGCATGCACTGTAAGAATTAAGTTCCTCAGGGGACAACTAAAATACCTCTTCCCCTTAATTTGTTCACTTCCTGACTTCCAAAAGGGAAGGAAATGCTGTAGGGACGTACATAAAAGAGGCATATTCCATATAAAATGCACAATCTTTCCCAGACATGCAAAATACAAAAGTGAAACAATCAGCTGAAGAAATCAAAGGGAGAGGAAAACAGCAACTAAGATGCTGAAGAGCCTCCTCGCAAATCAGACATTCCTGAAATGTCAGGGGAAGTAGCACAAAGTATGAAACAGTGATCAAAGACCCAGCCACAAATGATACCTTGCCCCATGCAGAAAGGGGCTATTAAAGCAAGCATCCAGTCAGAACAAATGACCTCTCCTTACAGCCATGCAAGGATGAATAAAGTATATATAAAAACCATGGGAATCTCTGCCACCATAAAAAGACATACAAAAGGAAAGGAAAATAGTGAGAATAGCATTTGGATCTTGCATAACTATGTTGATTAATAATAAAATAATATTCTAAACTTTTATTATTTATAAATAAACATTAAATATCCACAATTACCACTGTTCAGGAAAAGGCTGTTGGGAGGATGGACATCTCCAAAGTGATCATTTTAAAAAGTGTTTTTGATTCTAAACTATTTTTCAATGCACAGAAATATTAGCCTGGTTCTCAGAGGTCTGCACACTAGCAGATCCCATTCAAGTCAATAGGGGCTACGACCAGTCAATACCTCTAAAAAACCAAATCTATATTTTGGACATTTCAATAGAGAAAAGATCAGATCATCCCAGTACTGTACCTCTGAGACAATGAGCTACTGGTGCTGTTGAACAATCGTGTGCCTGGAAAAGATGAAAAGAAAATATTAGACTGTGAAGTCAGCCACAGTAGTGCTGAAAATACAACTCCTAGATTCAGGTAGTTTACAAAAAAGAGGGGACTGCTTAGAAATTAAGGATTCAGATACGATTTTTCATGTGCACAAGGGAAAGAATGTTCGTCACAGCCCGTGGGATTCCAAGTTAGTGATAGAAGCGGATAAAGAGTTAGGTTGCTTAGCAGTTTTATCATACACCAGCTGTAAGACAAAGGATGTAAAGCCATGATTTTCACTGGTACATTAAGGGTGCACAATTCCAAACTGCTAATTAAGTTACAATAGGTGAAAATGAGATACTTTGCCTCAGTGCTTTTATTTATGCTTCATCAGAATGAACCTATTGTAAGATATGCCCTTGTTTCAGGTACAAAGCAGAATTCTCTGTGATAAAATTATAGTTAATTTGTTCATCACACCCCTTAAGCATGTCATAAAAGAATAAAGGAAACAAGAGAAACCTTATTAATTTTTCCATTGAAATGTCTAGAGAGGCAGAACTTGGTCGCACAAAATTGTGGTTTAGGAAAAAATGATGTATACCATGCCACTGAAGTCCTCCAGTGACACAAATTCCCCTTGTTCACCAAGAAACCCACCTACAGCAGCTCCTTGGAGAAAATTATATAGGTGATGCTAGATGTTATTAAATAGTTGCTTAGTATTTGGGAGTGTTGAAATAAATCAATTCATATGAAAAAAATGCTTGATTCTTCCCTCAGAAACTATGTATGGCAGGATTCTAAAGGACCCCTTTAAAGTATTTTCAAACATGCTAGAAAGAAGCAATCTACGTAGCTGGCCTTATTATGAGAATTTTGTAATTTTAACAGCAACAATGGTACTTTGGCTTCAAACACTGTTAACAGAAGTTAGAACTAAGAGCTAATGCAAAGAAACTTCACACTCGGCATCTGAAGCAAAGGGCAGGTCAGTACCAAGAGGCTATAGGCTAATTAAAGCATCACATTTATTCAGGATTGTCCCATCCCCACTTATTAAATAAAATAAAGTAATATAGCCTTTACTACTGACTACAGTTTCTAAAATAGCATGAGAGCAGACTATTTTTTTATCTTTAATTCTTGGATATTTATTAATTAAATAGTGGCCTAAGTTTGTCCCCAATCCTGGTTTAGTTTTGTGTGACCCTGTTGACCCTTTAGTTGACTCCAAGTCTGGAAGTCAGACAGTGTAATTATATTTGTTTGGTCACACTTCAAATCATTTGCCATCTCTCTCAGGTTTTTGAAGAGTGTCCATTACCTGAGTATCTAAGTGCTGAATGAGTAACTTAAAGGCTCAAACTCTTATCCATTGAACTTCAATGCAGGCTCTCCACATCAACTTCCATTTGCTCTTCAACATAGGTTAAGCCTCTTTGTTGGCTCACTCTATATTTAACCATCATCTTCCTTGACTGAATTTAAACATTCCATATAAAACTTATGCAGTATTTTAACATCCAACACCATCACCAGACTAAGTGGGATGAAGAAGCATTTAATCAAGAGTTACAATAATTTATTTTTCATGATCCAGTTTTCAACATCTCTGAGAAATCCTGACATGCATAGCATTTCAACTATGCAGTTGTATTGTAAGACAATAACTTTACTTTGAACAGAATCATCGATAGTGATGTGCAACCAATCCAGATGAAATAAGCACCCATCCAAATTCTGAATTCAACTGCTTTTTACCAAACCTAAAACTAAACTATTTTTCAAAAAGGACTGCATGACCAGCATGCAGATACCTGTTACTTAAGGAGGACAAACAATTCCAAAAGCCTGCTTACAACCAACTAACCTTTCTGTAAAACTTACAGATCAGCTCAGGTAATAATTTACCTGTCCGAAATCTGCAACTCATAAAAAAAAAAACCAATCTAAGTACACGATTGTGTCAAATTAATTGTAGCTCGTTCCGAAGGAAAGAAGGGTATGGAGAGGTTAGAAGAAGAAAATTAAAATGCACATTAGATATGTAAGCAAATACATCCATCTCTTCTGTCAGCAATGAGCTCTGGAAAGGTGGAAAAAATACATCCATTCCAGAGTTATTGTATCTAAAAATACCTTTGGCTAAAGAAACGTTTATATAAAGCCATCACAGAACTGTTTGAATGAGAGGGATTACAGCAAACACCAAGGACATAGGAGACTGAACTCAGTGACCTGTTATTATGTGCAATTCCATCATATAATCAGATTAAAAATGTGTTAAGTTCCATCTTCAAAGCAGCGGCACTTTGCCCCATGCTCCTGCTGTTCCAAAGCCTAACACCTCTGATGGTTCGAAGCCTTCTCATATCCAGCTAAACTTATTTCATGGCCAATTTATGCCCTTTTACTCTTGTTTAAGATATTGTCCTTTATCTTAAATTGCTTTTCACCACTCTTCAGTATTTCCCCCCATTGTATTCAGAGAAAGCAATCATATCTCTTTCAGCCTTTGTTTTGCTAGGCTAAACAAGCCAATATCTTGTTAGTCTTGTCTTGTAAGATTGACACTCCATTCCCCTGATCACCTTAGTAGCCCTTTTCTCTGCTCCTGTTCCAGTCTGAATTCATGATTCATAAACATGATAACCAGAACTGTACACAGTATTGCAGGTGAGCACTTCCATATCTCTACTGGAAATATCACTTGCTACATCCTGGGATCGAGTTCATTTTTTCTATGGCTGAATGACATTAGCGGCTCACAGTTATTGTACAGTTAATAAATACAACCAGCTCTTTCTCCTCTCTTATTTCCAACTGATGAGGCCCCAGTTTATGGAACTGGAGGCCTCTCTTATTTCCAACTGATGAGGCCCAAGTTTAGGGAACTGGAGATATTTAAGAACAGGGTGGACAGACATCTATCCGGGATGATCTAGACCAGGGGTGAGCAAAAGGGCCTCCATGGGCCAATCCGACCTGCCAAGCGGGTGGATCCGGCCCGCAGAGGCCCTGCTGCACCCCTTCCCCCAGACCAATTAGGATCTGGGGGCGGGAGAGCACCCAAAGCCTTTTCTTCTTTGCCTCTGGCCTGCTTGCAAAGCCTCCTCCCACCCTGCCAGGAACACGTGGTGCTTTGAAGCACCATGTGCTACTTGCAGCATGGGGGGGAAGGGGAAGAGCGAAGGAGGCTTCACGTGCTCCCCCACCCCCAGGCCAATCCGGGCCTAACAGCGGGGGAACTGCATGAAACTGCTTTCACCCTGCCCCAGCCCTGTGAGGAGCCCGCGGCACTTCGAAGTGCCACATGCTCCTCACAGGACGGGAGGAGGCTTCCCGCGCCCCCCCGGCCCCAGGCCCTGATTGGCCTGGGCTAGGAGAGCGTGCCAAGCCTCTTCCCTGGGTGCCTAGTGAGAAGGAGGGACAAAGGGGCCCAGACCAATCATGATCTGGGGTGGGGAAGCCCTGCTCCTTCCCGTGTAGGCCCTGCCCCTTCCTGTTTAGGCCACGCCCCTTCCGGGGTGGCCCAGAGCTATTTTAAAAATTTTTGAAGTGGCCCCCGGGCAAAAATTATTGCCCACCCCTAACCTACACAGTGTTTGGTCCTGCAGTGAGGGCAGGGAACTGGACTTGATAACCTCTCAAGGCTCCTTCCAGTTCTAGGATTTTAGGATTCTATGTTCTAGGGCAGTAATAAACTCAATGTTTAAAGCTCACTGGTCACAACGGGATGGTTGAGGAAAAGATCATAACACAAGCTGGACTATTCTGATTTAAAATGGTCCTTCTGCGCTCTGGCAAGATGATTTATTTTATTTTAAAGTCTGACTGGGGGGAAGTCCCTTTTACTGTAAAGAGTGGGTACGGCATAACAAAACCCCCAGATCAATCAAAAATCAAAATCATCACATGAACATCTTTGTTCTGCAGGAGGAAAAACCCTGAAAGTGTGCTCTCAACCAGACAATCTGAACTCAGATTTTAAAAACCCCAAGCTAGAGCGTGTTTGGCTCAGAGGGTATACTTTTAATTTACTGGACAACTGGGGAAGCGGTGACATTCTAATCTGAGTCAATGCTCAGACTGCAAATGACCCTAATGGGTACACTCTCACTCATGCGGTTTATGAGCATTCAGATCCACACACATGATTTGGGGTCCCATCTCTACTGATAATCCCAGGTTGCTGGAATAGCCACAATGGTATCTTCCATGCCCATAGCAGTAGATACAACACATTCACTGACCTGATAAAAATCAATCTTTATAACACCTTTTTGATGTGTCAGAAAGGAAGAATACTATGAACACATCAAAAACTGATCCGCTGAGAAAGTCAAGTTAGAATATTAAAATTTCTGGATCAGAATCCTATCCTTCTGCCGCTAGTGAAGCATTCAGACACAATGATCAAGGTTATATGGTTAGGCATCATGCAATGGAAAGACTAGTTTAATGCTCACGAGTTAAACAGCAAGATCTAAAAAGCAGAAATACCTTCCCTTTATCTCCACCCCAAATGGCTGCAGTTCATGTAAAATGATTACTTACTATTCAACTCCTCCTCCTCATCACTGGAAGAAGAGCCAATAGAAAAGAGAGTTTTAGACTTAGGAATGAGCGGAGAGATGTTGAAGGAGAAGGAGATTCGTCTGGATGGTCGAGTCCGTCTCTGGGCTGAGAAGTGGGTTAACAGCAGACATTAGAGCATGCATGAAAATGGATTTAATAATAAAAGGGAGACGAATGCAGCCAAAAGCAAACTAAGTATAAAGCAAAATAAATGTCGGCAGAGCAGCTGGCTTCAGAAAGAGCATACAGAGCAAAGAATTCAGTGTGTTTTCATTTTTATTGTAAAAGGTGCAAGTGTACTTCAAGTCATAATGTTGAGATCCAGGTTTCTTTTATTTTCAATGGCAGCTTTTTTTTAACAGCGCTCAATAGAATATTATGTCTGAACAATTATGTTTCCAAACACAGAAGAATTCATCAGACAGATCCCTGAATAACCAGCACCTACTGAATTGATCAATTGTGAAGGAACCAATTCAGTGCACTCCATTTCTATGTTTCAAAATGTGGATTAAGAGGCACAAATTCTTCATTTAAATGGCATACCAGGTGCTACTGCAGTCACTCA